TTCTTTTCCAGACGGCCTGGAGAGAGTCACACCCACAAACATTAACAGATCACTTTGACCCATCGGTAACAGGAGACTTCCTATATCCAGTCCCTGGCATAGCATCTTTTTTTTTTTTGGAGAGATTTTCACTGTAGGGCATGTGCACTTCCCAGACAGACAGAGAGAGACATAGAGACAGAAAGCGAGAAATCACCCCCCAGGGGGGATGGTCACACTGCAATCCCTTCTCCTCTCGGGATCTTGGGCACGCAAACACATGCGTCCGGCATGAGTTCTAAGCCACCGGGTCCGGGACGCAAACCATGGTCAACTATGTGGGAGTCCAGCGACATAGCCATTACACTAACTGCTGGTTCCCATAAGTTAAAATTTTTTAAAAAAATACATCATGATGATGCTAGAATTTGGGACATTCTTACCCTTGAAGAATTTACAATATACTTGAGAAGTCAAGATTTAATACATGCGATCCCCAAACCCAAAGTAATTTCTATTGGGTCCTGTGATATTCTTTAGTACTTCCTTCTACCTCTGTAGCAATTCTATTACAGACTTAAAGCTCTTTTTTTTTTTTTTTCAAAAATTGTTTAAAGAATTATTTTATTTAACTTTTTATTTGTTTATTTATTTTAATTTGACCAGAGAGGGAGGGAGGAAGGGAGAGAGAGATAAAATGAGAAAGCAAGCCACCAGGTCTGGGACTTGAACTGTGGTAGGCCATGTGGGAGTCCAGCGCCCTTAACCACCATGCTACCTGTCGGCCCCTTAAAACTCTTATATGTATGACTCACTGCAAACTAGTGTAGGTAAGTGCTCAATAAACATTGACAGGCTCAACAAGATCAACCAACCAACCAGTAAGTGTGTGAGGAGCGTTAGCAGTTCAGACACATTTATAATACTAGATTTTCTAGGATGATCCCAATGTCAAGAATCCTTGAACGGCTGAATATGAAGCAGTACATTGTAGTAGTCAAGTGCATGGGTTCTGGAGATAAGACTGGTGGGATCTGCATCTCAAATCTGCCACCTATTAGCTATCTCACCCTAAATAAATTACTCCACAAACCAACCACATATATAAAATGGGAATGTTGTTCTTATTTAAGATGAGGAGTAATTAATATGTACTAGGTGCCTTAGGGCTAGCCAACATGGTGGTTAAGGCAGCTGGATCACACACATGGCTAACTGGGCATTCCCAACCGGTGGCTTGAAAAACCTGCAAAGTACATACGCATGTGCTCCCAAAATAATAAAAGTAGGGAGAAATGGAGAAGGGATTGCAAGTGACCTTCCACTACAGAGGGTGGTTTCTCTATAGAGAGTGCATGTGTCCCCTGGCAAATTAAAAGTTTAAAAAATGCCTTGAAAATTCCCAAGCACGCTGCAATTCCTTCTCCATTTCCCCTGCTTTTGGGATCTGGGGCAGACACAAACGCTCTCCTGGCGTGTTTTCTAACCTGCTGGTGGTATGGAACTTGAACGCGAGACTAGCCATGTGGTATTCAGCCACCTTAACCACCAGACCACAGGCTGACCTTAAACTTGTGACTTTTCTAAAATGACGAAATATTTTCTCAATCCACATGTCTTTCGCTTTGGTAAATACAGTAATCAATTCCCCTAATTCTTTACAGGATACAGTTTTCTTTTCCAGAAAAACTAGGGTTTAGATTTAAGGCTACACTGTATATTGACGTCAGATATAGATCCAGAAACTATCCGCCCTTTCTCGGATCCAAGAAGCTCCAACTTACTCGAGACATTGAAGGAAAACACCTGTGTCCGAGCTCTCTGAGATCGGGGACACACCTCATTTTTTACCAAAACTAAGCAGCAGCGCCGTGCCAAGCATACAAGCTGGCAGCAACCGCACGCACCCGAAAAGCCCTATGCGCAGGCGCAACTCGCGCTCAAAAAAGCTCTGGCTGGCGCGTGACAGCCGTGCGTTCCACCCTACCCCCAACTTCGTCCCATTGCGCACGCGCGATTCTACTCCCTGCTCCTCCTTCTCATCCCCACGAGCACGTGCGCGTTCGCGCTGCTCACATTTCAGCGGAGGGCGCGCGCCCTGGAAAATTCCACTTCGGAGCTGGCTCCACCCTATGCGCCTTCTCTCTTACCTCACGCTCCACTTTCAGCTCCCGTCCCGGCAGCCTTTGCGTGAGCAAAATGGCAGCCCCCATACCTCGGAGCTTGCCTTGCTTATCCAGGGCTTTGGGATGGTGGTCCCGGCAGGTGGGTAGGGACGGCCGGTTAGAACTTCAGGGCCTGGAGGAGAAGGACCCAGTAGATGGGGATACTTGCTGTGCAGTTGTTCTTGGTGACCTTGGACGATCGAGGCCGACCCAGGCTGAGGAGTTAGAGGTTTACTGGACCCAGCTACTGAGCTAGTGGCCAAGTAGAGAGCCGGGGCGGGGCCTTGAGGGCGAACGAGATCGTGGGGTTAGGTCTCTCCAGTTTCGTTTGGGTCTGTTTTGGCAGGTGGGCTCGCATCTCTTCGATTCTTATAAATTCCCTGAGATGTAGGAAAGTAGCTCGAAAGGGAGATCGGGATTGTCACTGTCTCTGCCTGAGCAAACCACGTGATCGGAGATAAAAGGTCTGCTTTAAAAGAAATTATAGATCAGTTGGAAGCTAAAACGAAAATATAAAGTTTACAGTGAGACTCCTCATAAAATGAGCAAACTCAATTGAGTAAAATGCGCAAAATAATTTTGCTTATGCACTAATAATAGCATTCTGGTCATTTCAGTACTGAATTTGTGTGTAAGTTCCCCATCAGACCAGAAATTCTTTAAAAGCAGTAGCCTTTTGTCGGCAGGTAGCGTGATGATTAAGGCGTTGCTATCCCACAGTTTAGCTTTGTGATTTGAATCCGTATTACATACCAGGGGGCCTGTTTAACACACCAGGCTTGTGACCATGGGTGCCCCAAATCCTGTCGCTTACCCTCTTTGTGTCTTTATCTCTCTCCACAGAGTGCATGTACCCTATGGCAGAAATCTAAAATGAACAAATAAAAGTAGTAACCTTGTTTTAATGAACTCTGTACCCTAAGGAGTTAGCACAGTCCTATACTACAGAAAGCACCAAAAGAAAGCCCAATTAGGTAGATGTTGAGTGCTATTAATAAAGGCTGCTCTGGGACCAGCAGTTGGCGTTAATGGCTATGTCGCCGGACTCCCATGTAGTCGACCGCGGTTCGTGACCTGGACCCGGCGGCTTAAAACTCACGCCGGTCGCATGTGCGCATGTGCCCAAGATCCCGAGAGGAGAATGGAGGAGAAGGGATTGCGGCGTGGGGGTGATTTCTCGCTTTCTGTCTCTCTGTCTGGCGAGCGCACGCGCCCTATGGCAAAAACCTCTCAAAAAAAAAATAATAATAATAAAGGCTGCTCACCACCTTCTAGTAAGAGACATCCATAGCTGTCACAGTTCCCTGTGATAATTGTTTAATAATTGTTCTGAACAGTCTTGATATAGGCCCTATCTACAGGGTTTTGCTTAGAGTTTGTTCAAGATAGATTTTTTTTTTTTTTCCAGATTGCTTAAATCCTAACCTTTCCTTCACCTTTCAGCCAGTCCTGGCCACTCAGTTCACAGCTGTAGTTCCAGTAAGAACTAAAAAACGCTTCACACCCCCTACTTATGAACCTAAATACAAAACAGAACAGGAGTTCAGAGAACATGCCCGGAAAGCAGGATTGGTCATTCCTCCAGAACGTTTGGAGCGTCCCATACATCTGGCCTGCACAGGTAAGGCATGGTATTTCTGGAACCCTTACTTAATTATTTTCTTTCAGAAATCTTCTGGAACTTGGAATGACTTGGGATATGTTCAACATCATTTGATTAACCACTGTATCAGTTCAGCCTCAATGATTATTATTTAAATAATTATTTAACTTTATTTGTTATTATTATTTTCTAGTTTGATCAGAGAGAGAAAGAAAGGAAAGTGAGAAAGTAAGCCACCTGTTTCAGGACTTGAACCAATGTCTCCCATGTGGAAGTCCAGAGCTTTTAACCACCATGCCACCTGGTGGCCCCATCACTGATTATTTACATACACTGTATTTTATGAGAACATCTTTGAACTTGTTCTTGTAGTATTCCTGGAAGGCAAGAATGAAAATTTCCCAATTTGTAGTAGTAGAAATTGAGGCTCTGAAAGAAGACTTAAATTGTATCTTTTTCAATACCATAGTATGATTCCCTCTATGTAGAAGTCTATTTCATTAGTCTGTTTTATATCCAAAATCCTTCTCAATTTTTTTTTTCTTTTTTTTTTTTTTTGTGGAGAGGTTTTTGCTATAGGGCGCGTGCGCTCGCTGTACAGAGAAAGACAGAGAGACAGAAAGTGAGAAATCACCCCCCAGTGGTTATGGTCACGCCGCAATCCCTTCTCCTCCATTCTCCTCCCGGGATCTTGGGTGCGCCCGGCGTGAGTTTAAGCCACCGGGTCCTGGACTCGAACCGCGGTCAACTACGTGGGAGTCTAGCGACATAGCCATTATGTTAACTGCTGGTCCCAATCCTTCTCAATTTTATATGATCTTAAGATGACTTTTTTGCAGGCAGCAGGTGGCGTGGTGGTTAAAGGCACTAGACTCCCACATGGCCGACTGGTTCAAGTGTCAGACCTGGTGGCTTGCTTTCTCACTTTCTCCCCTCTCTCTGTCTCCATCTGGTCAAATTGGAGAATGATAATAAGAATAATAATTAGCAAAGGTAAATAATTCTTTAAAAAAATGACTTTTTCTCAGTTTTTCAACACTTAGCGTTCTCTTCTTCTGTTAAAAACAGCTGGTATCTTTGATGCCTATGTGCCTCCTGAGGGTGATGCTCGCATGTCATCTCTTTCAAAGGAAGGACTGACACAGAGAACTGAGCGATTGAAGAAGAACGTGGCATCACAAGTGTCGTAGGTGTCTGAGACAAATGGGAGTTAATATTACAATAAAATTTTCTGTTGCTACTTAATAAAAGAGAGGCTTTCTTGGGCTAATGGGGTTGACCATAACTACTTCAATAACATGATAGCTTTTCCTTCCTCTCTGATAGACTCTGTTTAATGCAGAATAATGCGGACATTCCAATGTATAGTGTCCATTCCAATTTATAGTGTCCTAGCAGTTATTGGTAATTTTTGTCACTTCAGTTAGGGAGTAAACTTTGGAGCGTGTAGGACTCTTTTGTATTTTAAATTCTCATATATTTTAAAATTCTAAGTAATAATAACATTTTTGCTTGAGAGAGAGAGGGAGAGGGAGAAGGTACCCCTCATGGGGAGTGGTCTTTTCTCTTCCATTTCTCATTTCTGTCAGAATTCTGAAAATGGACATATACACACGTGCCCAGCATGTTTCTTAAGCCTCTCCGCTGGGACTTGAACTACAGAATCAGCCATGTAGAATCCAGCTTGTCTTAACAGCACCTTGATCTTTCTTTAAAATGGTTGATTTAAGAGCAAGGTGGGGGGCTGACCTACCACGTGACTGACCGCAATTCGAGTCCCGGACCTGGCTGTTTGCTTTCTCACTTTCCCTCTCTCTCTTACTCTGTCTTTCTTTGGTCAAATTAAAATAAATAAATAAATAATGTTAAATAAAATTAATTTTTTTGTATTCTTTTTTTTTTTTTGAGAGTTTTGCTATAGGGCACGTGTGCTCGCCAGAGAGACAGAGAAACAGAAAGCGAGAAATCACCCCCCAGGGGGGATGGCCCTGTGGCAATCCCTTCTCCTCCATTCTTCTCTTAGGATCTTGGGCATGCACTCACATGTGCCCGGTGTGAGTTTAAGCCATGGAGTCCAGGACTCGAACTATTGTCGACTGCATGGGAGTCCAACAACATAGCCATTACACCAACTGCTGGTCCCTGTTAAATAAAATAATTCTTTTAAAAAAAAGAAAGGGCAGGCCCCATAGCGTAGTAGTTAAAGAGCTGTGCATTGGAAACTGGATCTCATATGGTTGACTGTGGTTCAAATCCGAGCCCTGTCAGCTTGAAAAACATGCCAGGCACGTGTGTGTGTGTGTGTGTGTGTGTGTGTGCCCAAGATTCCGATGGGAAGGAGAAATCAAGAGAAGGGATTGCAGCATGATTATGTCCCGCTGGGAAGTCCTTTCTCTCTCTTCCTGACTCTTTTTTCTCTCTGATGAGCTCATGTGCCCTCTGGTAATGATTTTTTTTTTTAAGTTGAATTTATAGGACTTTATGTATTAAAAACACAGTTATTGAATAAATGGATAGACATTAATGGAGGTTAATATAAGCTGTGAGTTATTAGAAATTGTGTGAAATCTTTAGAAATGATTCTCAGGCTTACTTTTACAGAATCCGGAAGATTAAAGAATTTGATGCTAATTTTAAAACCAAAGACTTCCCTGAAAAAGCTAAGGATATCTTTATTGAAGCTCACCTTTGTCTAAACAAGTAAGTGAACCCCGTATTTTATACTCATTCTGTTCTCAGCAGCTTCTATTCCAGGTACAGTATTCTGGTTTTGGTGTTGCACCGAGTTTTTTCTTTCCCTTCAGGTAGGAGTTCTATGGTGAGAGAAGGTCTTAGATGGGAAGCAGTTAGTGACAGAAGCACTCCTTGACTCTTCTCCCCGCTTCTGGGAGTTTTACTGTCTGACTCTGTCAGCTGCAAACCTTGGGACTCTACTGCTATGACTACTGTTTTCACCTCATCTGATCCCAATATCCTGATCCTTTTTGTGTGCTCGTCTTATGTATGTACATCTTCCTTTCCTTAACTATTTCGAATAAGTTTTTATTTAAAGAATTATTTTATTTAAATTTTATTTATTTATTTTAATTTGACCAGAGAGGTGCAGAGTGGTGGTTGGGGGGGGGGTAAGAAAGCAAGCCGCCAGGTCTGGGACTCGAACCACTGTCGGCCACATGGGAGTCCAGCACCCTTAACCACTACGCCACCTGCTGGCACCTTGAATAAGTTTTCTTTTGAAAATTTCCCACTTTTTCTTATTTGATCAAGTCAAAGCTGCTAGTAAAATGAAAAGTCAACATTAAGAATGATCTTAAATGCTAGTCCTTGGACTATTCCTGACAGTCTTTGAACTATGCTCCTCTGAACCCAAAACCTGTACTCTAAAAGCTAGTACTTGTTTTTTATTTTTCTTTCATTTCTTTTTTTTTTTTTTAAAGTTTATTGATTTTATTTATTACAACATGTGTTCGTGCATATAAGAGAGAGAGAGAAAGAAGCATCCCCAGGGGTCAGCAGGTAGCATGGTGGTTGGGGCGCTGGACACTCCCACATGGCCGACAACAGTTCAAGTGCCAGACTCTCAGTTTCCCTCTCTCTCTGGTCAAATTAAAATAAATGAATGAATAAATAAAATTAAATAATTCTTTAAAAAAGAAATACTTTAAAAAAAAACTTTGAAATAAAGAAAGAAGGAAAGAAAGGAAGAAAGAAAGAAGTACCCCCAACAAGACCTGTTCACACTGAGATCCTCTTCCCCAAGTCCTCCAACTCATCAGTTGTGTGTTTCAGGTCAGCTGGGCTTGAGATCTGAACCCACAGTTGCCATGTGTCTTCCCACACTGCATTTGCATATGCTACAACTGTGCCATAGAGGCTATGCCTTCTGTTTCACTTAAAAAACTTTTTTTTAAATTATGAAATATTTAAAACATAGGGGCCAGCAGGTGGCATAGTGATTAAGGACACTGGACTCCCACAGTGCTGACCATAGTTCGAGTCCTGGACCTGGCGGCTTGCTTTCTCCTTTTCTCTGTCTCACTCTGTCCCTTTCTGGTCAAATAAAATAAATAAAGTCAAAATGATTCTTTTAAAAAAATATAAAACATATTGGTTTGTTGGAAACATTATGACACATTTTTGCATAGAAAAAATACATCATAACTTCCAACAATTGTATTTTTAAAAGTACCATTTAGGTTCATAGGTATTTACATTTTGTCATATTTGCTTCAAAATTCGCAATTTTAGGGGATAGATAAATGTAGTAAAGTTCTATCTCTCCTATCTTTTCCCTTCTTCCAGAGAACCTCAATCTTCTGTGTCATTCCTATGTATATTTTTATACTTTTACTAACTGTATGTAAACAGTGTTTTATACTTCTTAAAATTTTAAACGGGACCAGCAGAAGACGTAAAGGTTACGTCGCTGGACTCCCATGTAGTCGACTGAGGTTTGAGTCCTGGATCCAGAGGCTTAAATTCACATGGACGCATGTGTGTGCGCGCCCAAGATCCCGAGAGGAGAATGGAGGGGATGGATTGCAGCGTGGCCCTCTCCCCGGAGGGAGGGGGGATTATTTCTCACTTTCTATCTCTCTGTCTCTGTCTTTCTGGCGAGCTCATGTGCCCTATAGCAAAAACCTCTCCAAAAAGAAAAAAATAATTTACACAGGGCCAGCCTGTGGCGTGGTTGTTAAAGTGACTGGATCCCATATGGCCGTCATATAGTTCAAGGCCTGGACCCAGCAGTTTGGAAAACACACCAGATAGGACCAGCAGGTGGCATGCTGGTTTGAGTCCCGGACCTCGTGGCTTGACACTCATGCCGGGCACATGTGTGTGCATGCCCAAAATCCCAAGAGGAAAATAGAGAAGAAGGGATTGTGGCATGGTCATCCCCCCCTTGCAGGGTGATTTCTTGCTTTTTGTCTCCTTGTCTCTCAGTCTGTCTCTCTGGTGAGCGTACACACCCAATAGCAGAAATCTCTCCAAAAAAGGATAAAGAAAAACACACCAGGCACATGTATATGAATGCCCCAAATCCTGAAAAGAGTGAGAAATGGAGGAGGAAGGATTGAAACGTGTATGTGTGTGTATGTGTATGTATATATTTTCATTTATGTACACACTTTAATTTTGTCAGAGGATGTATGCACTTGCCAGAGAGACAGAGAGTGGGAAGGTGAGAAAGCACCTCTGCCCCAGGGGATTGTCATGCCACAATCCTTTCTTCTCTATCTCTCCCTCCTTTTTGGGATTTTGGACACGTATGTACATGCACCCAAGTGTGATTTTCAAGCCCTCAAGTCCAAGACTCAAACTGCAAGGTCAGCCACATGGGATCCAGTTTCTTTTTTTTTTTTTTCACTATAGTGCGCGTGCGCTCGCCAGACAGAGGGATACAGAGACAGAAAGCGAGAAATCACCCCCCAGGGGGGATGGTCACGCCGCAATCCCTTCTCCTCCATTCTCCTCCCGGGATCTTGGACACGCATGCACACGCGCCCGGCATGAGTTTTAAGCCACCGGGTCCGGGACGCGAACCGCGGTCGACTGCGTGGGAGTCCAGCGACATAGCCATTACGCTAACTGCTGGTTCCCGGGATCCAGTTTCTTTAATGACCATGCCATGGGCTGGTCATTATCTTTTCAACACCTGCTATCTTATCGTTTGGTGTTTTTTGTATGTTTGATTTTGTTTCTTACCATGTTATTTTATGCATTCTATTTATTATTATTTTTCTTTACTGCTTTTCTCCTTCATGTGTAGGTTAATAATATTTTCTTTTTCCCATTTTTTTTTTCTTTTCAGTTTGCTACAGGTGTGTGTACTCACAGGGGAGGGGTTAGGGAGAGAGTAAAAGAAAGAGAAAGAAATCACCCCCAGGGGGATGGCCACACCACAGTCCTTTCTCTTCCAGTCTCCTCTTGGGGTTTTGGGCATGCACGTACACACCCAGCACATTTTTCAAGCCACTGGGTCGGGACTCAGACTGCTCAGTCTGCAATATGGGATCCAGCTGCCTTAATCTCCCTGCCACCTGCTGGCCCCCTCTTCCTTTTTTTATTCTTTCTTCTTGTTTGAAAGTGTTGAATTCTACTTATCTTCTTTTAGTGAGTATCACTAAGATGTTTAACATGCATCTTTGACTTAATGTTATGAGAACCATAGAATACTTTGATTCTAGTCACTGCCTTGTCTATTTTCCATGTTACTGTTATCTAGTTTTTTTTGTTTCTGCCTTCTTTTAATTTTGCCTTCATTTTTCTTTGTTTTGTTTCTTTTCCCCACACCCACTTCATTTTAATTGGGTGAGGTTTTTGCTATAGGGCGCGTGCACTCGCCAGAAAGACAGAGACAAGACCAAGAGACAGAAAGCGAGAAATCCCCCCCCGGGGGGACGGCCACATCACAATCCTGAGAGGAGAATGGAGGAATCTTTGGGTGCTTTTTTTGCAGTGTTGGTGAATTTTCACTGAGAACATTTCTTCACATGTTGCTTCTGCTCCACTTTCTCGTCTCCTTGTGTGATTCTGAATATATATATATGCTACGTCTTTTCACTGTGTGCCAAATGTGTCCTCCACCCTTTTCATATTTTCCAGTCTCTTTTCCCCTCTAGTTATAGTCTAGTTATTTTTCTGAGTTTCCTATCCACTTTTCAGTTGTATCGAATGTGCTGTGAAAGTTTCCTATTGAGTTCTTAGTTTTATGCAGGTTGAGCACTCTTAATCTGAAAATCTGAAATCATTCTGCTCCAAAATTCTAAACTTTTTGAGCATTGAGATGATGGCACAAATAAAACAGTTCTACACCTGACCCAACATCTGGCGGGTCGCAGTAAAAACGCTGACGTACCTCATGTGGCTTATTCACCCTTCCAAAGGAAAAAAGACCCTCCTGCTCCCCCTTCAGCTGCAGTTTGTCTTTTCTGTGCTCTCCCAGGTCCCTCTTTGAAGGGTATCTAAATTGAAAAATGTCTGAAATACTTCTGTCTCAAGTATTTTTGGATATGAAATATTTAACCTTGTTTACTTTAGATAGGGGATATTCAACTGTGTTAAATTTTTTTAAATTTTCATTTGATATTTTTGTGTCCAGTTCCCTGCTAAAATGATTTGTTTTATCATATAATTTCTGAATATAAAACATAAAAGTGATTATAGTTTTTTAAGACTTTTATTTAATTTTATTTATTATTACTATTTTTAATTTGACCAGAGAGACAGAGAGAGAGGGAAAGTGAGAAAGCAAGCCATCAGATCTGGAACTTGAACCATGGTCAGCCATGTGGGAGTCCAGCACCTCAACCACCACGCCACCTGCTGGCCACCTATTCACAGTTATTTTAAAATCTGTTAGATAACTCCAAAATTTATATCTTCTTTTTCTTTTCTTTCTTTTTTTTTTTTTTTTGAGAGGTTTTTGCTATAGGGTGTGTGCACTCGCCAGACAGTCAGAGAGAGACAGAGAGACAGAAAGCGAGAAATCACCCCCCAGGGGGGATGGCCATGCCGTAATCCCTTCTCCTCCATTTTCCTCTCGGGATCTTGGACACGCACGCACATGCTCCCGGTGTGAGTTTTAAGCCACTGGGTCCGGGACTCGAACTGCGGTCAACTACATGAGAGTCCAGCCACATAGCCATTACGCCAACTGCTGGTCCCAAAAATCTATATCTTCTATAAGTCCATTTTCT